GATTCATTTTCACTTCGTGAATTGGATGCAGAGCAGCTTTAAGCTAGTTTATAACAGGCTGCTTTCTGCAGCAGTATCAGTAACTTTACAAGACACGTCTGTAACCTTTCTGTGCTGCGTGTCAACTTATGTATCCTATAGGGAGAGTCTGAGTCTGGGAAATTAGTGAATGCCCAAGATAAAACACTGAGAGGACTAAGGTACGTGTCCTCCCTGCACTCATTCCCTATCAGGTTGTGACAGACAGCAAAATGAGTCACCGGAGAATATGACAGGATTGAAAATTTATCAGCTGTTTTCAGTTTTTAAGACAATATCTCTTGCAGTTATGGAAATCTGCCGTCTATGTTATCAAAAAGGTTGTAGCCAGGGAATAATCTGAGCTGAAGCCACCTAATATGCCTTTGACTTTACTGGAGCTTGCAGGGTCGCTGAACACTTCAATCTCTTTCAAATCACTACATGAAGAGTGTTGTTCCTGTCCTAATACTCGGAGCACACAGGTGAAATTTAAACCACTGATATACTTTCCTATACAGAAAGAGACATCCCAAGCCAGTATCTCACAGGAAAAGTCACCAAGGACATATTGTTGTTTTGTCAATAATTATTTTTATTTTTCTGACATGATCTTTGTAATTAATCCCTTTTAAACTTAAAGATGTATTAAACCACAGCAGGAAGAAAAAAAATCTAATGCTTTGCTTCCTTTCCCTTAAGCAATTTGTCCCCCTCATAATCAAGGTATTTTTAGGACCCTACATAAATACCATTACAGCTGTATCATTCCTATATATGCTTATTTGTACACCCACATACATACGCAACTAATCAACTTCTCTTTCTGCCCTAATCCATTTTTTCTCTTATGCTAATTTAATCTTATCTACTGCATGTTAACTATTAATTCAGGGAATACACTGAATGAATGGACTGTCTTGGATAAATAGTAATTCCTAAACAGTGTATCTGACTTTTAATGATGCAAAATTAAGTTAACAGAGAATAATTAAGATTCCTACAGTGATGCTGTCCAAGGATGTTGTCGTTTCACTCTTGTCCTGCTTAGGAAGGCAGTGTTTCATCCTCAAAACAAATATCCAGCATATCTTAATCCATCTACCTCTTTCTTTCTCTGTTATTTTCTTCCATTCTCAAAAATCATACACTTTTTTCTTTTAAGAACGAAAGAAACTGTACATCCTATTATAAGTCTGGGAGGAGACTGAGCTATAAAGCTGTATATTGCAGGGAATAAGAAGCATTTGTATATATGTGGACTGCATTTGTATATATATTGAGTAACCCAGATTCCTTATAAAAATCCAATCTAAAATAAAGTTGTTGACATAATTTTTTTTAACAAACAGATCTGATTTCTGTTCCCTTTCCCCTTGCTTAACTTAGGATAAATCGTTTCAGAATGGCAATATTGATTTATTTTGCTTACCTGCTTCCCCGTGGCCAGAAATAAAATATTCCAAGAGCACAATCAGCATGATGCCTTTACGCTGCATGGCTGTCAGTAAAATATCTGTCCTCAGTGAAGCAAACAAGAGCTGCAGTAATCTACAGGTTTGGTGCTTGCATGGCTTTTCTGTATTTTCTTTCTTTCTTTCTGCTCACCTTCCTCTCAGTGTAGGGGTCAAGGCTGCTGTCTCATTCTTCTTCTTCTCGTTTGGGTCCAGAGGTGGGATTTTTTGGGTTTTTTTTCAGGGCTCAGATGCCTTCTGGGTGTCACCCGTACATTGCTTCCAATAAATAAATAAATAACAAGGATTTTCTGTGTCTTTACCCCTCTCCATGCAGCCGGCCGGGGACGTTCACATCCCTGATGCAGCCTCTCCAATGCACCATCGAGGGCTGATGCGATGCGGAGAGCTCTCTCCGGTCCGGTCCTTTGCGGTTCTTTGGATGCTATTGCAAAACTTTCATTTGTGCTCCTTGCTTTTGGTGGAGCTCCGGTTTGACTTTGCCTGGGCTCCCCCGGCAACCTTCCCTACCCCCCCGCCCCCCCCCCTCAGCTCCCACAGCCCGCTGCTAACCCGGGGAGCGATGGGGTCCGGGCAGCATGAACCCTGCTTTGTTAGGAGGTCTATCCCAGTACCTTCTTTCCCTTTGCTCCCTGCAGCAGAGGGTCATAAGAAGAACAGAGTTGGCTTTTCTCCCTCAGAGATGATGAGAAGCAAGTGCTTTCTTGGCTCTTCTCTCGTTTTATTTTGGTCGGTTCTATTTTATTTGATTTCCCTCCTCCCTCCGCTGTCACGGAAGCCACTTCTCCCCCACCTCCGAGCGATTTGCTTCACACGGCGAGCGCCGGGGGAGGAGAGTAAGAAACAAA